CCTGTAGAGACAGACAGGATGAGACAGAGTCCCTGTAGAGACAGACAGGATGAGACAGAGTCAGACACCATAAACCTGTCTTACTCCTTTGAAGATGACTTGTTTGAGCAGTGGGATGTTGATCATCCTTCCCTCTGGATCCTGGTGTCTGATCCAGTCCTCAGAGGACAGAGGACCAGTACGGGTCACTTGAGGCCTGGTCCCCAGGTCAATCTGAGGGGACAAGGGTGTGAGAGATAGGTTAAAGGTGAGACAGACAGGTTAAAGGTGAGACAGATAGCAAGATGGCGCTGCCTCTCTCATACTTTTTCTGTTTTTGTTCGTTTGTCCCGTTTCCAGCTCTCCCTCTCTGATCACATTCAGCAGGGTGGAACTTTTAAACACCCGTCTATCCACTAGTCAAACCTTTTCGCTGTTTTTCATAGAACTGGAAAGCTTTACAGAGCTTTTAGTTGGAGGAGCAGCGGCTCTCCTCGGGATTTACCGGAGATGCTGACGGGGAAAGTGAGCAGGAGCGCTCGTTAATCTGCGTCAGTGGGGACTCAGAACTGCACTTCCATCAATCCATCTGGCGAACGTCCGCTCTCTGGCCAACAAGATGGATGAGCTGCTGCTCCTCAACAGATCAAACACGGACTTCAGCACATCCGCCGCCCTGTGCTTCACTGAAACCTGGCTTGGTGAGCACATCCCGGACAGCGCATTACATCTGCCGGGCTTCCAACTCCTCCGAGTGGACTGCGTAACGGCGCTGTCGGGGAAAACGAGGGGAGGAGGAATCTGCTTCTACATAAACAAAGGTTGGTGTACAGATGTCACAGTGTTAAATGAATCATGCAGCCCTCACTAGACTGTAAACCTTTTTATTCACCACGGGAATTTTCCTCGTTCATCCTGGTCGGTGTCTACATCCTCAGGCCTGTGTGAGTGAGGCGCTCCAACACCTGGCTAAGCAGATCACCAACACGGAGCACAAACACCCAGACTCCCTGCTCATTGTTCTTGGGGACTTTAACAGAGCAAACCTCAGCAATGAACTGCCAAAATACAGACAGCATACAAAAGTGTAGCACCAGGGACAAAAACACACTGGACCACCGCTGCACCGGAATGAATGACGCATATCACTCAGCACCCCGTTCAGCTCTGGGACTCTCTGATCACTGTTTGATTCATCTTCTCCTGACCTACAGGCAGAAAATAAAATCTGCAAAGCCTGTGGTGAGGACTGTGAAGAGATGGACCAACGAGGCAAAGCTGGAGCTACAGTCCTGCTTTGTCTGCACTGATTGGAGTGTTTGTGAGGCTGCTGCTACAGACCTGGATGAGCTCACTGACACTGTGACATCATACATCAGTCTTTATGAGGACATGTGTGTGCCGACTAAAACCTTCTGCACATTCAACAATAAACCTGGTTCACTGCAGGAGTCAGGCAGCTCAGGCTAAGGAGGAGGCCTACAGAAGTGGGGACAGGATCCTGTACAACCAGGCCAGGAACACACTGACGAGGGAGATCAGGGTAGCTAGCAGGGTAGCAGCTACCAGGGTAGGCCATGTCCATACTACTCCGTTTTTACTCCGAGGAGCTAAGAGGAGCTACACTGAAAAACAGGAAAACAGGTTTTCAGCCAACGACCCCTCGTCAGTGTGGAGAGGCCTGCCGGTCCTCACCAACTACAGGAGACCCCCCCGAGGAGAATCACCAACTGGCTGCCGACCTGAATGTGTTCTACTGCAGGTTTGATAAGCCTACCCTCACACCCCCCCACCTGCCCCATCATCAAACAACCACCTACACCCCCTGCCTCCTCCTCACCTCTCCCAACCGACCCCCCACCGGCACTGAGGATCTGCGAAGAGGATGTGGGTCAGCTCTTCCACAGACAGAAGATCAGGAAGGCACCAGGCCCAGGCGGTGTGTCCCCCTCCTGCCTGAAAGTCTGTGCTGACCAGCTGGCCCCCATCTTCACACAGATCTTCAACCAATCACTGGAGCTGTGTGAAGTCCCCTCCTGCTTCAAACGCTCCACGATCATCCCGGTCCCCAAGAAATCCTCCATCACAGGATTAAATGACTACAGGCCCGTCGCCCTGATGTCTGTGGTCATGAAATCCTTTGAGAAACTGGTGTTGACCCACCTGAAGGACATCACAGGACCCCTGCTGGACCCCCTGCAGTTTGCCTACCGTGCTAACAGGTCGGTGGATGATGTTCAGTTTAATTAAACACAGCTGGACTCCAATGAAGGAGTAGAACCATCTCAAGGAGGATCAGAAGAAATGGACAGCATGTGAGTTAAATATGAGTGTCACAGCAAAGGGTCTGAATACTTATGACCATGTGATATTTCAGTTTTTCTTTTTTAATAAATTTGCAAAAATTTCTACATTTGTTTTTTTCTGTCAAGATGGGGTGCTGAGTGTACATTAATGAGAAATAAAATGAACTTTTTTGATTTTAGCAAATGGCTGCAATGAAACAAAGAGTGAAAAATTTAAAGGGGTCTGAATACTTTCCGTACCCACTGTATATATAGCTATATACATAGCTATATATATATATAGCTATATACAGTATATATATATATATAGCTATATACACTATATACATATACATATATTATATATATATATATAAATTATACATATATTATATATATATATATATTATACATATATTATATATATATATACATATATTATATATATATACATATATTATATATATATATATATATATATATATATATATATACCTATAGCTATAGCTAGATAGCTATAGATATAGCTATATAGATAGAGATATATATATAGATATATATAGAGATATATAGATAGATAGATATATATATAGAGATAGATATAGAGATAGATAGATAGATAGATAGATATAGATATATAGAGATATATAGATATATATATAGACAGAAAGGTCAAAGGGGAGACAGACAGAGTGAGACAGACAGGTCAAACATGAGACAGGGTCAGAGGTCCTACGAGTTACACTAATAATAACAATGAGGTCATGGTCATGTGACCCAGCAGCCTCACCCTGGTGATGACCTCAAAGCCGGGCTCCTCCTGCTGGTTGATCTCCAGTCCAGGAATGACTTCACCCAGCAGGAGGGCCACCTCCTCCGGGGGGCGCTGGTGCTGCTCCTCAGACCCCCGGAACGCATCGAAGATGTAGTTAGTGACTTTAGAGAATCCTCCCAGAGTGGTGACGTACGGGTCCTTCCTGAACTTCTGCTGGAAACACACGGTTCTATTAACATACGACTTCAGAGGAACCTCTACAGGGATCGTTAAGCTACACTTAGATTCACCTTTCAAAATAAAGCTATATGTAGCACACGGTTCTGTTAACATACGACTTCAGAGGAACCTCTACAGGGATGAAGGCTCGTTAAGCTACGATCTGGATTCAAAATAAAACCAAATCTAATGATGTCAAGGGCTTTTATTGTGAAAGGTAAGATGTGGTCTGTGTTTCCTTTGTCAAGATTGAAAGGAGTAATAAAGTTTGCCGTCCTGTTTCGGACTACAGAGCTTCTGTGTTCTTGTAAACTCCGGTGAACGTTTTGAATGCGTCTGTTCCACATGATTGGTTGGTGACTTTACTCGTGTGTTGAGGCCTTAATGTGTCTCTTAATGACAGCAGCATGTTAATCTAGTTACTAACCTGAACGAGGCCGAAGTTGTTATCGTCCAGCAGGTTCTCAAAGGACTGAGACAGAGCTCTGTTTGGAGAGCTGACCAACAGACATGAGTCATCCTCTGGAGATCTGCACACACACACACACCAACAGACATGAGTCATCCTCTGGAGATCTGCACACACACACACACCAACAGACATGAGTCATCCTCTGGAGATCTGCACACACACACACACACGCCATCCTCTGGAGATCTACACACACACAC